CTACCCGCTCGATCTCATCCGTCAAGGGTGACCTGTTCATGTTGGTCATGTCCCATCATAGTGCTTCATCGGCTACTTCGTTGATTTTGGAAATCATGCAATCGCTTGTTTAAGAGTTTCTCTACCTCTTCCTTAATTTGCCTTTGTTAGGGTAGCGGAGCTCTCGGTTGTCTCTGATCTTGACCTACTGGTCTAGGCTGCTCTTCTACATGCTTGGCTCGTCTATATCGTGGCAACAGTGCATGTGGTCCATTCCTGGCAAGCGAAGGAATTCTTCACAGGCTGCCGGTTAAACTTGAGCCGGATTGAGTGACTGCTTCTCTCCGTCCATCATGCTACCTACTCCGATGTGAGGTGGACAATGCTTCTTGCAGGCTTAGCTGCGAATGAACACTTCGCCTAGAAGGTTGCTCATGTTGACTATTAGACTGTGGCCATAACCTTGAATGTATGCTCGTCTGTAGGTCTAGTTAAGAGTACACACTCCTCTGCACGCTAAGACGAGAGTATACGCTATCTTAGGGGCCCAATCCGGAGTGTACACTACTCGAACGCTAGGTTCATGGCTGTTTAATGGGACACTACTGGAGAGGTTCTTTATTTGCCCTTGTCCTACTTCGAGACACCTTGTATAGGGCACGTTGCATCTCGGTGCGCTACAAGAGCTGATTCACCAAGGTCATCTGCTATGTGAGGGCGCGCGTCAACTCTATGATTTGTCAAGACAAGTGTGTTCTCCATTTGGGTTGGAAGAGCTTGGAAGGAATGCATTTTCTTGAGCAATGGAAGTGTGGTAGACTCCAGGTGTGAGATTTGAGTTGGGAAATGTCAAATCCGTTGAGAAAATGCCTCCGGTTTGATCGCAGGCCCATAAATTTGAAGCCGGGATGGTTGAACTAATCTTGGACCGATTTAGGCTGCTTGGAAGGTCGCGGGAGCAGGCTGGGCCATGGGAGTGGGCTACTCGGCACACGTGGGTGCGAGGCTAAGGCTCAGCTTAGCAACACGTTGGGTTCGCGTTGGGCTTGAGTGGCTCAGGCAGTCTCGCCTTGGGTTTGGGCCCGTGTGGGCTTGAATGGCATGGCTTGGGCCATAGTTGTGGCTCCATAGGCCTTGTCGTGGTGGTTGTCATGGTGGTGCCTTGTGGAGGTGGTGCTGCTCCACTCATTGTTGTGTTAAGCCTTATAGATCGTCGCAGTCCTAATCTTTGAACGTTGGAATTTCCGTTTGTTGAGGTTTCCAAATCTCTTGCCATTGTACTTTTCTTTTACGTTTTATCGAAGAATTTTTAGAAATAAAAATTCCAAGAATTAGAACGTACGAAAAATCTATAAATAAACAACAAAACGAAAAACCTTGAATGTGAAAGTCTTCTACGAGCGTTTCATCAAGACTCTCAATGAAAGCACAAATTTGTGGATGCAAATTTCTTCCTCCTTGTTCTTGGACAAAATTGCACCTACAAAACAAATAACACCTTAGGTCAAGACCAAGAGCCTCACATGCCCACGATGAAATGGGGAGCTTTGGCCGAAGAACCTCCGATGCCAAAGTTAGAATTTTGAGGGAAAAATGTATGGAGAATTTAGAGAATTTTGCAGGGTGTAGAACTTGGGTTTTAGAGAGAATGAGGGTGTTTATATAGGGTGTGGCCGGCCCCCTTGGGAGGAGAAGGACCGGCCACTTAGATGGCTTTTTGGGTTAGGTTCTTAATTTGTAGCTAATTAGTAAATTAATTGAATAATAAATCAATTAATTAGCTAATTAATATAATTTGAAAGGAAAGATTTGGGGGTTACCTTGTGGAGAATATTTGATGAGGATGGATGAAATATGTTTTAAATAAATACCTATTTTGGGCACTTTTGACTTGATTGAGAGATGGTTTTTGATGTAGAAACTCAAGATTCTGAGAGAAAACTGAAGGTAGAGAGAGAGAGAAATTGTAGAGAGAGAAAGTAATTAAAGTTTTATATATTCCAAATCAATGAGTACATGTGTATCAATACATTACAATATTGGCTGAGTCACCATAATCACTAAGAAACTCTAACAGATTCTATGATCTAACAATCCAATCTTAACAGCTAAGCAAAAATTCAATCTGGTGGACCTTTTTTATGCTTAACACACCCCCTCAACCTAAAGGTAGGTGATCTAAATGCAAGCTTGTAAGTCAAATCTGCAAACCTTTCAACAGGTAAGGATTTGGTGAAGATATCTGCAACCTGATATAGAGAAGCAACATGGTGCACAATGACATGTCCAGAGAGAACATTTTCACGGATGTAGTGATAGTCAATCTCTACATGTTTAGTTCGAGCATGAAAGACAAGATTGAATGCTAGAGCAAAAGCACTTTTATTATCACAAAAAATAGCATGAGTTTTCAGCAAAGGAAACGAAATATCTTGCAAAATTTTACAGACCCAAGTAATTTTAGCAATTGTGTTTGCTAGGGATCTATATTCGACCTCTATAGATGACCTAGCAACTATGTTTTGTTTCTTTGCACTCCAAGATATGAGATTCAGACCAAGAAAAATACAATACCCACTGGTGGACCTTCTGTTAATAGGACAACTTGCCCAATCTGCATTAGACCAAGCAGTCAAGTATTGAGATCCCTTAGTAAACCATAACCTAGAATCAATTGACCCTTTAAGTATTGAAGGATCCTTTTAACAGCCTGCAGATGAATTATCCTTGGTGCATGCGTGTATTGACGCACCTGATTAACTGAAAATGCCAAATCAAGTCTGGTCCATGTCAAATATTGGAGGGCACCAACAGTGGATCTGTAGAAAGTAGGCTCAAAGATCAATGTGCCTGAGTTATCAAGCTTTGTAGAACTAATAGGTGTAGAACAGGGTTTAACACCAATCATATCGGTTTTGGAAAGAATATCTAATGCATACTTAGATTGATTCAGAAATAATCCCTTGGCAGTCATATGAACCTCAATGCCCAAAAAATAATGAATGTCACCCAAATATTTGACAGGAAACATAGTCTGCAGTTGAGAAACAATTGATTGACACACTGAAGTAGGGCTGCCAGTGATTATTATGTCATCGACATAAACCAAGATAAAAGTAATAAAAGAATCTCGTTTGATGAAGAGGCTAGTATCAGAGAAAGATAGAGAGAACCCCAAGGATAAGATGGCCTAATAGAAAGCATCATATCAGGCCCTTGGTGCTTGTTTGAGGCCATAAAGAGACCACTTAAGCTTACAGACATGATTTGGCCAAGTGGAATCGACAAAGCCAAGGGGCTGAACCATATAGACAACCTCTTTTAAAGAACCATGCAGGAAGGCATTACTCACATCGAGTTGATGAACAAACCAGTCATAGGTGACATTTATGGATAGAATAATCCTTATAGTTGTAGGCTTTGCAACTGGGCTAAATGTCTTACAAAAGTCAATGCCTTCTTGTTGGTGAAACCCCTTAGCTACTAACCTCGCCTTATATCATTCAATTGAGCCATCGAGTTTGTGCTTGATTTTAAACACCTACTTGCACCGACTAAGTTGTAGCTAGGATTAAAAAGAACCAGATCCTAAGTTTGGGTAGCTTGTAAAGCTTGAAATTCATCCTTCATGACTGCCATCCAATTGGGATTCTTAAAAGCTGGCAAAAATGTAGTTGGAGTAGGAGGAAGTCTTGTGAGAGAATCAACAGTTGTTGGAAGTTGATGTTTTATTGTAGTAAAAACCTTAGGTTTGTGAATCCCTGTTTTTGCCCTTGTAACCATAGGATAAGCATTTACAGGAATAGAGACTGGTCGAGGCTCAAATATAGATGTAGAGATCTTTGGACTAGGAGTGGTTGCTAAGGAGAGATGTGAGGATAAAGTAGTTGAAATACTTGTTGGTGAAGTAATGGGAATACTTGATGGCGAGAGAACTGGAATAGTGATAGTAACTGGAGCATTTACTGGTGAAGTACTCATTGATGAATGCATTGTGGGTGAATGAGAATCTAAAAAGAAACCAGTCTTGAAAGGAAAGAGTTACTCATCAAAAGTCACATGTCTTGAAACATAAACCTTGTTAGTCACATGATCAAGACACCTATAACCACTGTAATTAAGGCTGTAACCCAAAAACACACATTGCTTGCTTTTGACATCTAATTTGTTGGAGGAATAAGGTTGTAAATAGGGATAACAAGCACACCCAAAAGGCTTTAGAGTATGATACCCAAGAGTGGCATTGAAGAGCAATTCCCAATGACTAAAGGTGGAATTCTATGGTGGCAATCTGTTGATCAGGTAAACAGAAGTTTGAAAGACCTCGACCCATAATCGAGGAGGCAAACAACTTTGAGAAAGTAAGGTTCTACCCATTTCAAAATGTCGATGCTTCTTCTCTGCACACCCATTCTGCTTAGGGGTATGAGGGCAACTCAATTGATGAGTAATACCTTAATCATTAAGAAAATTCTGAAACATTTTACTTAAAAACTCACCCCCTGAATGGAATCTGAGACATTGAATCTTGCATTCAAATAGAGTTTGAACTTTGGAAACAAAAGTCTTAAACACTGAATACACATTAGATTTATAGAACATAGCATAAAGCCAACTGTATTTAGTATAGTCATCTACCAAAATAAGGTAAAATCTGTATCCAGTACATGAAAGTGTGGGTGAAGGACCCCATACATCAGCATGAAGTAAATGAAAGGGCCTAATGGAAGTACACAACAAAGATGAAAATGGAAGTCTAGAGGCCTTCCCCAATTGGCAATCAGAGCAGATAGAAGATTTACGAACATAACCAATAACAGGTAATTAATTCTTATTGATAACAGTATGTAAAATAGGGCTAGAAGGGTGTCCTAGTTGTTTATGCCATGTATGAATATCAACTTTAGCAATCATCAAAGCTCGAGGAGAAATAGCAATCCCAGAGATGCCATTGGATGCCTTCCAGTAAAAAGGGTACAAGCCACCTTCACAGGGGCCTAGAAAAGCATCCTCCCAATGCTAAGATCCTTGATATAAAATCCAAACGGATCAAAAGTCAGAGAGCATCAATTATCATACACAAACTTATAAATTGAAAGCAAGTTATGAGAGGCTTGAGGAACTAGCAACACATGATTGAGTTTAAAAGTAGCATTGGTTGTAAGAAGTAAAGCATATCCAGTATGTGAAATGCATAGACCTTTACCATCTCCAACAAAGAGTTGTTCACTTCCAGTGTAGGGAAAAGCAGAATTGAGGGAAGCTAGATTGGGAGTGACATGAGGAGAGGCACCGCTATCAGCAAGCCAATAACTCGGGGGAGGAGAAGTAGTAGCAGTCAGACCCATGGGTGAACTAAGTTGAGACCTCTGAGAAGCAATTTGAGAAAGTCTGTTACAGGAGAGAGCCTCGTGACCAAATTGAAGACATAATTGGCATTGAAGATTACGGCCAGACAGAAACCAGGTACTTTTTTATTTATTATTAAATTGATTGTCCTCAGCAATATTCCAGCTTAAATTAGAGTTTCAGAGTCTAATTCCGATGAAATTACAGGAGAGTGCGAGGGGAGTGAATTATTTTATAGTCTGATACTGTGGAACTACTTGGGGACGATATACATATGATTCTCCTGCATGACAAGAGGTAAAACCCTGGATGATGCTTTTCTCATACTTGTCTCGTTTGTGACATAACTCTAATCTTCTGGTAGGTGTGATGGGACTAACAGATATATCGGTTTCATTGATGCAGCGAGCAAGCAAACCCTTAAAGATAGGATTATCAAACGGTGCTCTGATTTTCTGGACTGTCAATTTTGAAATATTTTGGATGGAAATGGACTTTCAACGCTTCCCATACTCGCAATTCCTTCTAGGGACCTCTAGACCTCAGCTCTGTTGAATAGCTATACAAAGATTGAATGTATGTGGGACTTCGTCGGTCCAGAAAGAAAGCTATTGAACTGTAAAGATAGGATTATCAGAGGGAAAACGATGTTAGCTTACTTCAACCACTCAAGTACTTGTGTATGTATGTACTTCTGTGGTTTCCATATGGCGGAATGCTTACTCATCTTTCAATGCCTCTGTCATCTTGTGGTAGGTGCATATACATATGTTCCTCTACAAACACAATGGTTGGAGAGAGCTTGGCTTATTGGCACCGCTTGCTAGAATGCACTTGTGACTAGACTTGGTGGCTGGCTGCTGTGCCTACAGATTTCAGTGTAAGTAGTTGAACACTTAAGTGTAATTTGTTCTTCCTTTATGTATCAATGTAATTCAACTATGCAATCAGTCAGGACAACACGGTGGGACTAATGTATTTGTCGGCTTTATTGATGCAGATGGCAACTTTGAATTGTAAAGATAGGATCATCTACAGCCAACGATTTAAACATGCATCAATTGGTTCCTTGAATGGTGCTAGCTCCAGTTATCTGGCATGAATATAGTTCTCCTTTAATCGGAGAGGTAAACCCTGGTATGATGTTTTTTTTTTCCTAATATTGTTTATAGTTTGAGTATAAGAGACATGCCTTTTCATCTTTTCTTGATGTCACTCTCATCTTCGAATGGGTGTAGATATGCTTTTGTACAAACAAAGTGGTTGACCAGCGCGCTTGTTCCTTGTAGGAGTGTCTTCATGCTTGCGTTTGTTGGTATTCCAGTAAATGATATTACTTGAATAAGTGGTTGGCTGGTGTGCTACAGATTTCACAAGAATAATAATTCTTATGTTGAGCACTGCGGATGATTGGTAATTGAGTGTTCCACCACTCTCTTTTGTTTTTTAAGTTCCATTCACTTGTTTTCTAAGATAAATGTATCAAAAATAATTTCTTCATCTTTGAATTTAGGAGTATCTTGTTAAGCTGAGGTATGAAAAAGGAAAGCAGTTGAGTTGGCATCCTATTAAAATGGATTTGAGAGGAAACATGCTTTTCACAGTTCGATTTATAACGAAACGGTAGAAAACGTGTGAAGGTAAAGCTCCGCGTTCTTTTCCTACATTTTCATCAAAACTCTTCATCCACGTACTCTCCTTAAAGAAGAATATATATCACATAATGAAATTGTGCCTATTGTTGCCGCCAATGAACATCTTATCTCCTGGAAGTGATCCAAAGGAACTGAGAGGTTATAGCATTCTTCTCATCGTTGTGGATTTCATGAGCAATCAAGAGAATATTCAAAGTTGCATCGGGACTCGGAGGTTTGTTTTCTTTATATTAGTGTGTGTGATGTCGTGTGACTCGCATAGCAAGTTAACAAACGAAACAAAAAATTATTTGGACATTGCAGATTTGCTCACTATATATGCAGGCAATCATTTGACTCGTGAACAGCTCTAGAGGAAGATGCCGTGGAGAAATTGACGATGATACGCTTTAACCCAAGTTTGATGGTGAAAGTTGGAGCAGTGGACTCTCAAATTTAGAAACCTTCTTGGTAAGTAGCAACTCATCTGTGGTAGTGCATCATGTACATTATCACACATAGCAGGATTTCCCAGTTGCTAAGGGGTCGATTCATTGTTTCCCTTAATATATAGTATTTGTTTTTCTAATTCGTATGCAGCCACACACTATGTTGCTGCCTGTGCAGCAAGTGCTAGCGTAGGGTTTCATTTTTCTCTACCACGTACGTTTTAGGCCAGAACACTGCATCGTTGGCTGCCAATGGCTGTTGATTTGGAGGCTGCAGCTGTGGAAGTGGAGAGTAACTCCACTCTATCTTTGGCGGGACTGTAGCAAAAGAAGAAGGATTATTCTGTGTTTGGTTTAATATTATGTAAGATGAGAGGCCAAACAATGTTGCACATAGACTTGCATGATATCAAGAGTTGCTATAGTTTGAAGACTCCCCTGGACATTATTATGGATGTTTAGTTAATACAAGCTAGATAGTCATAACTTGTAATTTGTTGGTGTGGTACTCTTTTTTCTTCAACTGGGTTGAAATCTCCCACAAGATTTTGATGAGGCGAATCTTTGACACCCTAAAAAACTTTAATCTTAGTAATAGTCATAACTTGTAATGATTACTTTTAAGTTTTCTCATGAACCATAGTGTGCTTTGTTCTGTAATGACTATTTTTAAGTTCATTTTATGTTGGGTGGTTAATAGAAATCTTCCTACAGGAGCCAATTAATTTAGGATCAAAGGAAACAAGGATCTGCTGGAGACGTTGCTCGATGAACACCTGCTCCTTGCCACTTTTCACACTCTCTGGATCTCTATGGAATCTAAAATCTTTGGACGGAAAGGGACTTGAGCACCTCACTTCGTCAACAGCTAGAAATTGTAGGGTGCAAGAGTCTCGAATTCTTGCCAAAAGAGGGTTTTCTGGTATCTCTTTCTTATCTAAGCATTGAGAATTGTCCTTCTTTGACGAAGAGGTATGAGGAGAAGCAGGGAAAAGATTGGAGAAATATAGCTCGCTTTCCTTGCATAAAGATTGATGGAGAAGTCATCATCATCATATGAGCTTTCATTTCACTCTCTCCAACCTAGAAACCAGCTTTCTTCTTCGTGAAATCTGGCCGACCCACAGCCTAAAACCGGATTGACCCAACCCGTAAACTAAAATCGGCCCAACCCAGTTGCTGGACCCAATCCAATAACCCTTGGCCCATCAACCCACCCAAACCCATGTAAACCAGGCCCAACTCAGCAACCCAAGCCCAGATCCGACCTGAACCTAGTTCCAGTTTCCTGAGCCGGCACATGGCCCGTAAGTGAGTACGAGTCATGGCTGGCGCGTGGAGGAAGCTGGGGTCCCTCCTTAGGTTTCTCAACATGCCAAATCTGAATCCACCATCCGTTTTTCAAAATTCGACCGTTTTAAAATATAGTTCATTTTTTAGCCGTACCTTATATGAAAACACGTAATTACATCAGTACGTTATATTTACATAAATGGTTTCATTTCTAGGTGAAACACATCACAAGGATCTGTGACACCTACAAGGCGAGTTCGACTCGACAACATAATTTGTGACTGGGTCTTTTCTTTGATATACATATATTTGTTTAGTTTCTATATATACGCCTACTAATGAATTATCTATATGATTGCCGTAATTAAATTAACATTTATAGGAAATGACGTAACGATGAGAATTAGGAAATCAATATAAATCTTACGGGATGCCTTAATTAAATTTACGGCTATGAATAATAGTATGTTGACTAAATTTATCGAATCACTGTGGCTTAACTATATTTATGCTATCTGCTCATCGTTTACTGCACCGATGTTAGTACTCGCCCAAGTTAGGGTCAGTCTTTCACGTGTATGTGTACATTGCACCATACGCCCACATTTGATCCATTGTAGGTACCAGTCCTATCCTAGATTGCTATAGGCAATTAGGACTCATATGTGTTGCGCATAGCGCTAGTCTTCATGTGAGTGAAGTACTATAGCATATATCATTGTTACAACTAGTCATGTTCATGTCAGAATATCTCTGCATGAACTCATGTGTCAGCATGTGTTAATGAGCACTCGATATGATATGTTTGCTTGTGCAAGATTATGTGATTACGGACATCATGTGTTACTTACGCAATATTGTGCTGTATTGAACTCTTGAGATATTGCAGGTTACGGTAAGTATTTTCTTACTATATGTAGTATGTATATTTTGGAAACTATATTTGTTTTACGACGAGGGGTTATTATGTTTTTGAAATGGTTTTTACAAAGCTTTATTTTTAGGCCCACTCACCCTTGTTTTTCACCCCTCCAGGTTTTAGTGGCTAAGCTTTTGTGTCAACGAGGATTCTTGGCAAATCTTGGTATTGGAGATTACCTTCGATAGTATAATTCTCATCCTACCTCATTGTACTTTACTTATGCTCTGACATCACATGTGAAATGGGTTCATTCCCGCTCACAAGCGCACTCTTATATTTAGGCACTTTTAGGTTTAAATCTATTCATATTTTACACATCACTACACTTATGGCTTCATCACCCTCCTGGTGTCAGCCAACACAACTCGATTCGAAGTCTAAGTGGACATTCCTGGTCGAGGTGTGTCATCACGTGTCCAAACCATCTTAACTGATTTTCTCTCATCTTATCTTCAATTGTGGCCACTCCTACTTTACCTCAGATATCTTCGTTCTTAATTCTATCATTTTTTATGTGCCCACACATCCAACGAAGCATTTTCATCTTTGTTACACTCATTTTTTGCATGTTTTGCTCTTTGACCGGCCAATATTCCATGTCATAAAGTATCGCTAGCCTTATTGTCGTCCTATAAAATTTTCCCACAAGCATTATTGTCACACGACAATCGCACAACACACCCTATGCACTCTTCCACTTTGTAATCTAGCTTGTATTCTATGTTTGAGATCTCCATCTAATTCGCTATTATTTTACAAGATAGATCCAAGGTAACGAAAATGTTCACTGTTTAGTACTTTCTGATTTCACTACTACAAATTTTTACATACATGACGTAGTTTATGGGTCATGTTAAAAGTTTAATGACACAAGGGTTTAGCGTCATCTTTGTGGGTGTCATTAAAGATATTTTTTATGACGTTGAAAGAGTGTCATGTATTACTTTTAAGGACGCCTAACAAGCGTCATTGAATTAAGAACTTGTGTTATCTATTACCATTTAAGACGCGGAATAAGTGTAATAAACAGATAAATGAGTGTCATGGTATACTAATTATGACATATGCACAGTGTCATGTATAGCTTTTAGAGACACCTAACAAGTGTCATTGAATTAAAAAAGTGTGTCATCTATTTCAATTTGAGACGCGGAATATGTGTCATAAACAGAGGAATGAGCGTCATGATATACAAACATGACATCTGTATAGCGTCATGTCTATAGCACAACAGCGTCATTGAATATTAGCAACGACACACAAAGCTTGTCATAAACCATTCAATGCATGTCCAGAAATATGTTTGATGACATATGTAATGCATTTTTAATTTGAAAACAAGACTTACATAATTCATCCAAGAAGTAAGATATTTACCTCAAATAAAATAATATTGCTTCATAAATTTGTAATTCACCCACCACCATAGTATTACAAAAGACAATATAATGTGTAGAGCCTTCCTACTAAAATAAAACTATAAGTTCACTTAATTTAAAATTTCACAAACTAGCTAATCTAGTGTCTCATGTATTGGGATGAATTCATCAACATACTCAGCCCACTTTATTCTTAATGCATCAATTTCCTGTTGAGTGTATGTAGCTTTTATCCTTCAAACTGCTCCTGCAAAAAATAAATAAATTGAATGAGAGGATCCTTACCAGAAGACAACAGAAAAACAAAAAGGAAAACTCTTTGTTGATCACTGTGGATCTTCCCGTCTCCCTTGTCCTTGTTCTTCTTGATTTGTGCACAACTAAAAAGAAACCGCAAATTAGTGGTTCAATTTGCAGTTTAAACTAGTGGTTAAATAGAAATAGAATAAACACATATTTATCCAAGACTTGAAAGCAAAGCCTAAACCTAATGTAATTTTATGAGGTCTGGGTGAAGGGCAAGTCTGTAACATACTAGCTAAGATCGAACTTGTGGTGCTACAACTTATCATCTCAATAATTGAACTAAAAAAAATAAACATAAAATTTATAAGATTATAGACTGAATGAGCAGGATACGAAATTATTCCTATGACCAAAATGAAGATAAGTGACAAAAAAAAGCAACACGCATGCAGAGAGAGGGAGAGAGAGTGTACCTTTGGAGTGATGTTTGTCATCATCACTAAACAAAATTTTGATTCTGAAAAACCTGTCATGATTCATATAAAAAAAATCCAAGAACAATTTTCACAAGCATATAGAAATCCTCTAAACAAACCTACTCTCTTAAATACTAATTCATAAGATTGCCTCTGCTTGCTTTACGAATCCTGCAAATATTAGTCTATTAAATATGAATCATGAAGACAAACCTACTCTTTTAAGCATAAACCAGATGCGTCACCACCTCCTGTCCAAAACCCAATTCTGGGAGCAGACACTCGAGAATGAAGACATCAGACCGGAATTGAAACAACTACAAACTAAACTGACTAAACCACTTAAAACCACACAACTAAGATAAGAGTTTGTATCATAAAAGCATAAGTTTGTGCGAGTGAAAATTTGAGTACTGACAATGGTTCACTTCTTCTTGGCAGCAAACTTGGTGACCTTGGCACCGCTGGGATCCTTCTTCTCAACACTCTTGATAACACCAATAGCAATAATCTGGCGCATGCCACGAACAACAAAGCGACCTAATCAGAAAAGGTCTCCACAACCATGGGCTTGGTACATCTTCACCATAACTGCATCTCCATTCTTCAAGAACTTTGTCTCCTCAATCTCCTTGCCAGACCTCCTGTCAATCTTGGTAAGGATCTCATCGAACTTCCCAACCTTGTGCAGTTGATAAACAACGTGCTTCTCAAGCGTAGTGGCGTTAAAAAGAAATAATCTATAACTGCTTGAGAGATTTAAAGGATAAATCTTCCACTTTTTGTTTTAAAATCTTCCGCATATTTTATTGAACAAAAAATAAAATATCTTCCTCACATTTTTTTTAGTTGCGTCATAATATTACTTTAATAACATTTTTAATAAAAGAATGTCATTAAAAAATTTACCAAGTGTCATGAAAGCCCTATTTTGTAGTAGTGTTTCCATACCTTAGTCTATATTAAGGGGATGCGTAAGAGTTTGAACCCATAACACATTGAGTTGAAGAGAAAGACCTTAACCACCAAAGCAATCCACAATTTGCAATGCTCGAAAGGTTATGCTTTAATGTATCATGGCTTACGCCTTGCCTTTTGAAACGCTGATTTTAACATATCTCAATCCATGTCCAACCAGAAATTTGCTTGAAGTTTCAAACCAAAGAAATATTTTAGGGTAAAATTCAGTCTCTTGGTCCATCCCTGACCAAAATTCAAACTCGTTATTATATGAGTGAGTAAGACAATGGCTAGAGTTCCCACTTTTCCGTATCGAAATGTTTATGGTCGCGTAAAGTGTCAAAATTTGACAAAAGGATTTTGCTGTATTGTGCAGTGCACCTAAACTCTCGAACAGTTGTATCACGCGCGAAGGGAAGGAGGAAGTAGGTATACATGTGGTGGTCTGGTATGTATATATGTCAAACTTAATGGAGACACGTTCCCACCAAACCCCATATAATATCATTTATGCATGCCAGATTACCTCTTCTTTCGAATAACAATTACCTCCCAACTAAGGAATAGGATTAAGATTCTCTCTGTGAGGATATTAGGAATTGGTTTGTCAAATTCGTTCATCAGTCATTTTGTGGTCAAAATAATGTACGATAAACGATTAAGATGAATTGATTTTTAAGATCCTCACAAACAAGATCCGTAGAGGATCCTCATCCCCCAACTAGGGCTAATCTACCCTCTCCTCTCCACGGTCTTTGAATGCTAGCCACCCATGCACTCCTTCCCTTCTCTCCTATTATTACACCTTCCTCGATTTGGTTGGCTTCTCATGCTTGCCCTAACTTCTTTTTCTTGCATTTATTTGTATACTTTATAATTATTCGTAACCTCCAAGAGTTTCACTTTTATTTTTAGTAAGAAAGGAAAATAGTTAAAGGGAGAAGCCCCTAGGGCAAACAGCAGCTAAACAATCCCATTGCCTAGGCATCTAAGCATTATGAGAAAGAGATTGAAACCAACAACGCACATCGGAAGGGCCTCGATATGCCAAAGCATCAACAACAAATTTACCTCCGAAAATATACGACAAAAGGAAATACTTTTTTTTTTTTCCGAACAAAAGAAGGAAATAATTTTCAAGGGTATATTTTTATTAATTCTTAAAGCGAAACGGTCTTTGGTCTTCTCTCACACATCACTCAACTTTGATATTCAAATTGAATAAATCAAGCAAAAACAACAAACAAGATAAAGAAAAGTGTAAAGGGGAGAAGAATAGCGTGTGATTATCATTTTTCTCTTCTTAAAATGTTAACTACAATTTTCTTTAGTAGTTTTATTTTACTGTGTAGAAATTATTTAATTGTAAAAATACATAATAGCATAACTTTGTTGTTTTAGAAAACAATTCGAGAAACAAATAGCAATACATAAAAAACGAGTACAAGATTCAAATCTCATCTTGAGAATAAAAGTAACAACACTTAAAAACTATAGCAGGCAAAATTCGCAAAAACAATTTAAAAATCCTCACAACGTATACAAACTTCAGATCCCAAAAACAACAAAGCCCTATACTAAAATAATTATGGATGGTAAATTTTTCTGGATATAACTAGTGTATAAATTGTTGGACAATTATCTGATTCTAAAAGCTTAAGACATTAGCCACTTAGCACTGCTATCTACTGATTTTTTTTTACTTGTAAGTGAGAAATCTTACGTTGATTTCTGATCATTGACGGATTCGAACCAAATTACTATCACTGATGTATTATGTGCTTTAGCTCAAATTCCTCACTTATATAAATATATCATTGCGTTAAAAATAAAACTTAAGCAACAAGAAATATTGTACAACAAGCGAACACACTCGTTATATTGCAATTTGACGTGTAGATAATTTTGGCACAACCTTGCTCCTGCAAGTTAATATGATAAATGTTAAAGTGAAGATTGAAGAGTTTATAGTATTCAATTATGAGTTTAAAGAATTTTAAAATCATTTGCAAATTCAAGGTGTTCAATCAAGGTTTTAAACGAATTCATGAAAATTCATTGTATCTAATTAAAATTTTGAAAGAGTTCATAACACTATGTAAAAATTTGGATGTAATCAATCATGATTTTAAAGTATTATATGTATTCAATCGCTAAATTGTTTTTTTTTAACATATGATATTGTATATCTACACTAAGGGTGAGGGGGAGTTTGGCTAAGTCACACAATGAGCAACTTAATTTGGTATCGAATTCACCATTCACAAGATTTAAACCAAGAACCTCTCACTTCTAAGTAAAAAGGAATATTATTAGACCATAATACTGAGTACAGAATTTAATCTAATAATTGACCTCTCTAGCATTAACCTATATAAACAAACCTCATCCCTCTCTTTCTACCCAGAACCTGCAACCTTCCTAATATTGACAGCTCGGACTTTTAGACCCAAAAAGCCTCTCTCTCTCACGGAGACAGAGACACAAGAATGGCACCAACAGCAGCATCGGACTCTTCGAACAGAGCTGTATGTGTAATGGATGCATCAGGCCACTTAGGCACCAGCCTCGCTGAGCACCTGCTGCAAAAGGGTTACACAGTCCATGCTGCCCTTCAGAAACATGGTGGGCAGCTTAATGAAGCTTTTTAATTATCTTTAATTCTGAATTATTATCATTAATTAACAATATTGTTCTTTTTTTGGGGGGGGGGGGTGTTGATTAACTAGGGGAATCGCGGTTGAGTGGGATTTCCTGTGACAAAAAGAAGCTCAAAGTTTTCAATCTGGATCCGTTCGACTACCAGAGCATTCTCGACGCTCTCAAAGGCTGTTCTGGCTTGTTTTATTCATTTGAGCCTCCACAAGAACAACCAGACTATGATGTACGTACCGTCTTTCTCTCTAATTGACTTCCTTGATAATCTTTTAGTTTTCGTTTTTTCAGTGAAATTTGTTGTTTAATAACTGCTTTTTGTTTTCAGTTTTTCTTTTTGAATTTATTATTAAAGGTAAGGAAGAGTTTCAAGTTATTACAATAATTTAAGAAGTTCGAAACTATTAAAAAAATACTTTTGTGAAGTTTCAATATTTTACTGAAAACTCAAAACAATTACGAAATTATTTCAGTCTTTTTTTCTCTCAATAAAACTAAAAGCTGAAACGTTAGTAAACGAACCGTTCTGTTAATAACATTCACTAGAAATTGTGTGTTTAATTTGGTGATTTTCTCAATTCATTTTGTGTTATTATCAACATAACAAAAAAAACAGACTGAAATATTATTAACAGTCTAAAACAAATTATTATGCAATCTAGACATCTTAAGATGATCACGTAATTGCCTAATGAAGTTGTCGCTTTGTCCCAAAAAAATGATAACGTAATTAGTGTATTGAAGTGACAGGAGAAGTATTTTTTTGGCAAGAAAGAAGTTTGGAAATGAGATATCATTTGCTTTTCTATATTTTGTATATATAATTTTTATTTTTTATTTTTAAATGATAAACTAATTTACCAATCTTCTAATACGAATCGATACATTAACATTAACAGCTATATTATTAAAAACTGATTTGGGTCCCAACTATTCTATAGTAACACATCCTTCTCTTAACAAACTTAACTTTTTTTTTAATTTTTAATTTTTAATTTTAAATATCAACAGTATAAGGAGGTGGAGGGAACTTGACAGTATCTAAACTACCAATTAATATAATCATCTTTGTCAACTCAAAGAGAGTGAAAAGACTGGGTAGTCTTCTATCACAAAAAAAAAAAAAACAATTGATGGGCATTAATGTAATTTTACAAACCAAATTCAGATGTTTTATATTGAAGCTTCACCTACATATTATTTTAACATATATCAAATGTTAAAACAAATTAAAAAACAAAAATAACAAAAACATTTCTTCCCACTCCCACTCCCATATTCTCTCTCCCTCTCTCCTTCCCATTTTAAAAACAAAAATAAAAAATATTGACACACAAAATGTGTAGGCATATGCTAGTGTTTTTTTATTGGATCCATGAAAGGAAAAAAAAATTACAAAAAAAATGAAAAACCACTAGATTTGGAATAGATTGAAATAACTACATCGATGTAACACAATCAATCAGCCTCTTAACTTATTATTCCATGAGTACAGGTAAAAAATTTGGACATCTTACATACATAGATTGTTTTCTCAGGTTTTGATTGTTTGGGTCAAATTATTGAAAGTTCGCAGGACGATAGTTTTTTTTTATAAGAATCTTTTTCAATATACCACGTAGAATTGAAACAGTTGTAGAAATAAAATAAAAAATTAAACAGTTGTGAAAATTAAATTTAGCATCAAATAATAGTTAAATTCCCATTAGTTTTTATATATAAATGTTTTATGTAGGAATACATGACAGAAGTAGAGGTTCGAGCAGCACACAACGTACTAGAAGCCTGTGCAAGAACTGAAACAATAGACAAAGTCGTGTTTACATCTTCCGCCGCTGCTGTCCTTTGGCGAAACGATCGCAAATCGACAACTCTTGATTTGGATTTGGATGAACGACACTGGACCGATGTCAATTTCTGTCGTAGTTTCAAGGTAAATATTATATATATCTTTGTATTTTGAGCTCATAATTTAGTCCATTCCAACAAAAGAAATTAAACAAACGTTTAGTCGTTTAGTCAAATGTGTGTGTTTATAAATCCTTCTACGTACAACAAAAATACTAAGAAACAACTAGACCTTTTTGTACTTTGGTGGCCCGATGCCCAGCCACATCCTGGACACACTAGGAATTTTTCCGCCACTTGAGTGGCCGATTTCTTATTCATGATGTGATCCATCGTCTGGAAATAAAAAAATTATATTATTTATAGGGTTCAGTTTTCTTAGATCTCAGATTCAAGAAAATTAAGGTCACTTACCGTTCAAATTTAATTCAACTATACAAGAGAAAATACAGTTAAAAATTAAATGATCATATATTGTTGAATTAGAACGAACAGTGAGTGACCACAATTTTTTTAAAATCTGGATCTAGAACATATATGACAGTTTATATATGAAAATTACTACTAGTATCATCGAGGCTTATAATAATTGGTTGAATCTGCTTTATCTGTGTCATATTGCACCTAAAATATTTGTCAATGGTCATAAATGATTCCTGCATGTCAATGGAATACAATCCTATACTAATTCTCTTTGTGAGGATTTCGGATGTCATTTCATCTTGTCCGTTCATTTGTTATCCTAAGATAAAAAATTATTTGAATTTTTTTATTTAAAATTAAATACAAACAGTATCTAATAAAAATTGACCGTACGATGTATAATAAACGGATACAATAAAGTGATTCTCGAAATTCTTACAAAGAGAATCTAGAGCAGATCTGCATCCATGCTGACAAAGTATGTGGTGCGAGGTGGTTGGTGTCCCAGTGTTGATTAGTAGTTATAGTGTACTGAAGTAGTTAGGAATGTGATCCGATCCCACTTTCAACCTGAACCAACAAATTAATAACATGTGGCTCCATCTAGATCTAGTGAGTGCCAGTGAAGCTGGCATTCGATTAGCTTAACGTAATGATGAATTAGTCATACTAAACTTCAATTAACCCTAATTATATATATATTTGATTTGGACAGTTGTGGCATGCATTATCAAAAACCCTAGCAGAGAAGACAGCATGGGCCTTGGCAATGGACAGGAGCTTGAATATGGTGTCTTTGAATGTAGGGTTGCTGATGGCTCCGGATTTGTCCATAACCAACCCATATTTGAAAGGAGCAGCTGAGATGTACGAAGATGGTGTGCTCGTGACGGTTGATACTGATTTCTTAGTCGATGCGCACATTTGCGTTTTTGAAGATGTCTCATCCTACGGTCGATATCTATGCTTCAACAACATCATCAATCGGTCTGAATATGCTATGGAGCTTGCTCGGAAGTTGACCCCTGCTACCCTTTCATACCCCGAACGCCAAGACCAGGACATGAGGATCCCTCGACAGAGAATAAGCAACAAGAAATTAAATAAATTGATGGTGGAATTTAAGAGCAAATCTCAAGAGTGTTGAAGGGTGATTTGCTTATATATATATATGACATGACATGACATGTTGGTCACTTAAAGCACATTCATTAAGAAAACATGTTTTTGTATTATTACATTTATTTGTATGCTTTGTAATATCCTATTTCTTTACTTCTTTTGAAGCTAGAAATTTATATATTGTTGGTTGTTGGAATTGGCATAAAATCAAGGAAAATTGTCCGAATGATTTCTTAATCTTGGGACTAAAATATGATTTTTTTTTATTATGTACCGAACATGCACACAACATACATAACAATATGACAGAAATAAGATTATCCTAAAACTTAGATTACCAAATTGCCCTCCCGTATAAATAGTTACCCAAAAATTCTAACCCTAATTTCTCATTTTCTAGAAAGAGAAATAAAGAGAGAGGAGAGAGAGAGAGAAATGTCAAGTGTAGCTCTACAGCGTGTTCTTCGTCTTGAAGCATTGTTTGCAGAAAGAGCAATAATTATCACATGTGAATGCGAGGTGTAAAGGCCCCTCGACAAGATTCACAGACGATAGGAATTGAAGACCTCCACATTCATCACAAACCCACATTCGCCGACACCATTTTTTGAGTGGAGACCCGACCCTAGCACCTCTTTCTATCTGATCCATGCCTGGTCAACTCGCCCGGCACCTCCCTTTCTCTCTATCTCCTCCATGAACAAGTTTATATTTCAATGTAACCGTGATTATCATGAACAATTGGATATATCAAGTCTCTGCTCTTTTGCCATTCCCTGTTTTTCTTGATTTCGATTTTTACCTTTTTATTCGTAGATTTTGTGTACTACTCTAAAAATTCAAGCCTAGCGCCGCCTAGGCCCCCGTCTAGGCGCTAGGCGGCTGGCTATCGTCCCGATTAATATCTAAGAGTTTGAAAATTAAGAAAGGGCGGCTAGACCAGCTGAGGCGCCCACCTAGATTGTCTAGGCACCTGGCTAGCCCATCCAGACCTACCCAAGTTATGACTCACTTAGACAGAAAATAAATAACTTTCAATTTGCATTAAAAAAAATTTACAATAAATTGTAAGAGAGTTATTGATACTTAAATGAGCACAGACTATATGCTTGTTCCTCATGTTTTCATTATGTTCCAATACTTCATAATACATATGTCATTCTATTTTGTAGTTTATAATGAAATTATACATATTAATTATAAACAGACACTTATTTACATGAAATATAATGGATTTACTTAAATCCACCTAGTCCGCCTAGGCGCCCCACCTAGACCCCACCTAGCCACCTAGGCGCTAGGCCCCAGTTCACCGCCCGACTAGCGCCTAACATCTTTTAAAATCTTGGGACTGGGTTTACTCAATTTTGTTTTTTGATTGATGGATTTTTGGAGTTGAAGTGGTTGGTTTGGTGTTTTTTGGAGGAAACCCAAATCCTTCAATTTTCCAGAAAACTCCGTATGCACACAACATGCACATGATATGCTCACAAATCTGAGCTCAACTCAAAAACCTAGAGCTCACAGCTCTCTCTTTGAAATTAGAAAAATAACGCAATAACTTGTGGGTTTTTACAATTAATATGTGGATATTTTTATCATTTCGCTTTTGTGCATGGTGTACATGGCTAGTTTATCTTATTCCAAAAATTAAGAAATGGATCATTTTTCGCAATTTCCCTAAAATCAATATGTGCCTAATCTAAACTAAATATCAATATAGGAAAAGGAAAGTAGTAGGTTTTTGGGTTAGTTTGGACGCAAGCTAACAATTAGCTTAATATTCTATTTTCACTACTACAAAAGGGGATATTTGTAAAATTCCATCACCGGAATTTCACCAATTATTACGTATCTCGTATTTTAAAACACGTATTTCGCGCTTATGTTAACTTTATTAGTTAATTTTAATTCCATTAATTTTAAGTTTAGTAATTGATTAGTTATCGAGTTGGAAATTTCATAATCAATCTTTATCTTTCGAAGTTACAACTAGTGTTTTTAAATAGATCTCGAACGCATAGGCGAAAGCCGTTTGCGAGTCCGAATTATAACGGTATAGTTACGGACGTTTGAAGTTGTGAACTATAGATTGTGGGATGCATGGATTAAAAGTTAAGTTAGTAGAAAAAAAATAGAAATGAGGAACCTGCCAGATTTTTTTAAAAGGGGTATTAAAGGACCCATTTGGAAAGAAAGGAAGGGCACTTTCTTTCCCCCCTAATTCGTGAAAACGTGAGGTCCACAGCCAAAACTCAAACCGGCCAATTTCAGGCCATTTCCTCCATTTCCCAGTTGATTTTCCTACCTCCTTCATCTGCAACTTGCTCAACTACCTTCCTCCTTCCCTCTCAACCAAAAATCAAGGTTTTTAAGGTCTATTTCATGTAGAACTCCATAGGAGAACCCAGGGGTTCTCGACGACGAATTGTCATTCCGGAGAGTATCACCATTCACCATCACCCTTAATCAACTTCCCTTGGACCCAAGAACAAGACAACTGGTGGTTGGAGCGTTGGAACACCAAGGAAGCCGAATTTAAGGACACCCACTTTAGGGTTTTGTTGGGTGCAAGCCAATTTGAGGGCCTTCCTGGCCAAATTGGACTCGGCCACAGGTATAAAGTTTACTCTACTTGTTGAAATCTTTATTCCTGTAAAATTTGAGAATTTTTGGAGAAAATCAAATTTTCTGGTGTGTGACATTCGATTTATAAAAATGTTGTTGGTTGAGTATTTTATCGATAAACTCCGCCACTTGATTATTCTAGCGATTGATGATCTTACCATTGAATTGACACCAATTTTAGTATGCTATGGTAGATAATATTTAAGGACCTTAGGGACTTACAAGTGAAAATCTAGTGATTGGATATTACGGAATAAGTGACGTAAGATCATGGACCCTACCTTAGAATGACAGTTCAATTCCTCATTAAATGTTGTTGTGGGAAATATATGAGAGTTTTAATTATGTGAATTATCGAAGGAAATTTAAATGTTGTTTGTACCTTGTTAGGCGGTGATAGAACGTGATGCCTTGACTCTTGTGTTTGAGTGCATTAGTGTGGATCTCAGGTGAGTGATTCTAATCTATGTGTTATGGTTATTGCTTTGAAATCTTTTGTGCTAATAAACTTTGTGGTTACACTATGGATTCTTAAAATAGTTTTGATGCTAAATAATTGTTGCTAGTAAGTTGCCGTCGATCTATTTATGAAACATTAGGTGACTTGGATATTTGAACTATGATGGATTGTGTTTTGAGATATATATGTGATGCTTGATAAAAATGATGGATGGTGTTTTGGGATATATATGTGATGCTTGATAAAAATGATGGATTGTGAAGGACCATTACCCTAGTGTCATGGGGTTAGGTGACACTAAGTCTGCACCACGTAGCAATGGTCCTGGATCGTCCTGCTTGGTTAATCCGCATTAAGGGACCATACTATTTGTGGATTATGCTTGGTTAATCCGCGTTGGGCGATCCTTAAATCCTAGGTATGGTCATACACATTTAAAGGTGATCATGCTTGGTTAATCTGCATTGGGTGATCACCTTCCAATAGTTATAGGAGTGACTCTACTTGGTTAATCCGCATTGGGGGGTCACTACCTATTTAGTTATTTTCTCAAGGGTGACTCTACTTGGTTAATCCGCATTGGGGAGTCACTACCTACTTGGTTACTTTCTTAGGGGTGGCTTTGCTTGGTTGATCCGCTTTGGGGGGCCACTTCCTATTTGGTTACTTGCGTAGGCTTTGGCTGAACGACGTCTCTCTAACTCTAGTTTTGAATATATCTGTGAATGTGTCTTTGAGAACTCTGAGTTTTGATTTAGAAAACTCGTTGGATGTATGTGTGACCCCTTTGGAGGTTGCAAGGTTTGGTAGCGATTTCTTATACATGATTTATATTCAAGGTTTATAATAGTGAATGATGGTTGGTTTTATTATTAGTATCATATACTTGTATTATTTATCGCTCACACAAGCTTCGTAGCTTATCCGGTTGTTGTTTGCCTGGTGCACCATTTCGATGGTGTAAGCACTAATCTTACAGGTAACAAGTCTGAATAGCTTCGAGAGGTTCGTAGGTGGGGTAGCGGTACAGTTATCAGAGACTTGGAGTGCTAGGTTACCCCTATATCCTATCTTGTACTTTATCTTTGGGACTTTCTTTTGAGCACCTCAATCTTGTTCTTAGTAAAGCAAAGATTATGCTTCTTTTTGGGATGTAACATATTTGTAAATATTTTGTGGAGAACTTAACCATCTTCATATTATTTTGGTTTATCAGTTAAGGTATTTTATTCCGTAACTTATACCGCATTCAACGGACGATATTTTCCTTGTCACGTGTCGATTCTCGACGTATGTTGGGATCAGGGCTTGACAATATTACTGTCAGATTAAAAACGACAGGAAACACCACTTACTGTCGGATTATTGGGCAAAATCCGACAATAAATTGTGCAATATCGGATATAGGAACCAACACCAATACTACCGTCACAAAAAGGGTATTGACGTCGCTTAGGCACCTTAATCCACCACCATGAAGCAAAGTAATATAAAATAAAAAGTAACAAGGCGTCGCTTAAAAGTGACATTGCCACTGACGTCGCTTATAAGCGACATCGAAACGCACTAAGATGTCGGTTCAAACTAACATTAACTACAAATAAATAATTAAAATATCACACTTGGTGTCGCTTCCAACTAACATCAATTGAGTTAAATAAATAAAATACTCAAGTTAACGTCGCTTATAAGCGACACTAGACATACAAAAAATAAATTTTTTTACTAATCTTCACGTCAGTTTTTAATTAATAACAATTACAAAAAATTATATGAAAATAATTCCAACCAATATATCATTTATAGGCCAAGTCAACCATTAACAAAAACTCGTAACAAATATTTTATATTACACATAACATACAAAAACTCATCTGTCATAACAAACACCAAATTCGACATTACAAATACAACATACAAAAAACAGAAATAGAAACTATAAATGCTAGCACAAGTGTCATACATAGCTGACAAGAAAGCGAACCACACACTACTTAGTAGAACTGGAGCCCGAATGTGACCCCGTTCCTTCTCGAGATGCTTCTTGAGTTCCTTCTCGAGATGCTTATTGAGATCCTCCTTGTGATCCAATAAACCTCGCATGTCAACA